CTTAATTAAACCTCATTGCTTGAACCTCTTGAAATTCTGTCTCTCATATGGCTGGCTGATGACAACTACTTGATATTCACTCTCAAAATCCTGGCTCTTCAGTCTACAGAATAAGCCTTTCCTTCCTGACTTGTCTTTTAAGTGCCAGTGATATCCAAGTCTTTACATATACCGCTTCTTATCCTAGTCTACTTTTTACTTCATCTATGCAAACAGCTTCAATAGTCACATATGTGTTGATTCTCAGATCTTAATATAAGCTTAGACCTCTCTGTTGATTTCCAAACCTTTATACCAATTGTCTCCTGGACACATGAAGGTATATATCTCAGAGCCCCCAAATTCCATGTGTCTAGAACAATTCATTATTCTTATGTCAAGGGTCCCCAAGATTACTCTTAGGCTTGATGATTCACCAGGACTCACAGGCTCAGAAAAGCTGTTATTACTCATGCCTATGATTCATTACAGCAAAAGGATATAGATTAAAATCAGCAAGGGCAAAATCACATGGGCAAAATCCAAAGGCACAGGAGAAAACAAGTTTGTAGGTATCCTTTCCCAGTGGAGTGACACCAACGTGTGACACTACCTATAAATGACTGACAACAAGGGAAGCTCATCTGAGCCCTGGTATCCAGGATTTTTATTAGGAGTCAAGTCATGTAGGTCTGTAACACCCATGTGGCAGACCTCAGCTACTCAGATGTGCTAGCCCCACAGGGCAAAAACAAGCATTCACCATACATTGCATTGTGAAGATAAACTCGAATGGTCATACTGGTACCACATGGCTCAAGGCCTCAGGTGTACAAGAACACTTATCAGGCAGGTAATTCCAAGGGCTCAGAGGTTATTACACAGGAGCCAGCCTAGGGTCAGTCCTAAAGACAGAACTTTATTGGGAGTAATTTGTAGGCAAACCACATTGCCTTCTAAGCTAACCCTTTTCTGCACAACCTCTTTAGCTGTTATTCCTTACACTCTGTAACCCACCATTATGTAAGCCAGAAATCAGCCTAGATTGCTTCACTTAACTCCAAAATCCAATCAGATTCTCCCTGCAAATCCATCTACTCTCAATTACTGCAACCTGGTCTCATCTCCATTTTGCTTTCCTCCCAGCAATTCTCCATATTGTTTCCATTTAGGAATTAGAATTGTGAAAAATAAATGCTGTTTGCAATAATGCTGTTATAGAGGAATACTCATGATGCTATGACAGGAGAGCAAGGGAAAGTCTTCTTGTTACATTCACACTTGACATAATAGCATCACCAAGCCTTCAAGGTAAATTCAAAGTTCCTTGTACCCAAGAACCTTTTAGGCTGGCTCCTGCCTACCACTCCCACTGTTCTCCTACATACTTTACTCTGTGCAAACATAATCTTTTATAATTTTCATAAAGGTTATGTGTTTCCACACTTCTGACCTTCACTGTCTTGACTCCTTTACCTGGAATGTCTACTCGTCAATATTTATCTCAAGCATCCTCTTTGGTCCTCAAATCCTGTTTAAGATGCTGCTCCCCTTTCTCTGTGCTTCAGAGCGTTCTGACACTTCTATCATAGCACTTATCCAACTGCCTTAAATTTTATGCACTTGTTTCCCCCAGTAGATCATCAGTTTCTGAGGACAATGGCCTAATTACCTTCAGGGTTAGAGCCCCAGCATCTAACCTGGCAATCCTAACAGATGCTCAATAAACATTTGCTGAGTGAATAAAGAGGAAATTCAATTTTGGGAGCAGAGAGGTGACTGCCTGCTTATAGAATCAGGGAAAGCTGTATAGAAGTAAGAACATTTAAGTTGATATTAAAGGAAAACAGATGTTTATCAGATTGAGAGAGTATGCCATACTGTAATTTTACTATGATTCCTGTGTTCAAATGTCAGCCCTACCACATACTAGCTTTGTGATGTTAGGCAACCTTCTTTACCTTTTCTTGCTTCAGTTTTATCTGTTAGTGAGTAAAAAATATCTCCTAATTAGAGAGTTGCTGGAAGAAATAAGAGGGTTAGTGCAGTACCCGGAACACAGCAAGGGCTCCATATATTTTAGCAGACTACAGGGACACCTTGTTTTGTTGCTTTACTGTTCCTCATAGATACTGCTTTTTTTTTTTTTTTAACAAACTTAAGGTTTGTGGCAACACTGTGTTGAACAAGTTCAACAGTGCCATTTTTCCAAAAGCATGTGTTTGAAAAAGTTCAATTTCACTGAGATCAAATAATTTTCACTATTAGTGCTTTTTGTTTAAAAAGGAACAAACCTACCCTAAGTAGTGCATCAATTAGTAACTTCAAGGTAAAAGCAACTGGTAAAGGAAAAAGGCTAGAGTTCAATTAAGTTGATATTTCACAAAAGCATTATACTCCTGGGCGAATCTTTGAGAACTGCCTTTGATTCAATCTCTTCAGTAATAAAAAATTAGAAAAACAGAAGTTTATTCTGAAAGAGGCAATTCTAGGCTGAGAATTACAGAAGAAAAAAATCTCAAGGTATTCAGGTAAATAAATTAATAACATTATACTCAAGTAATAACTATACTTTGGGGCCAAGAGAGATCTGTATCGTTGCAGATTATTGTCAGAGCTAAGAACTAGCAGTGTCTGGCCCCATCCCCGGCTGGGACGAACAATCTCCACCTCAGTTTAGACATCAGATATAATAGAGAACTGGATCCAAAGCATTGGAATGGAGGGCAGGTTCTGTATCAGTCTAAGGACTTTAGGGAATATGCAGAAATCTTTTCTAATCCCTAACTGGGCTGAAGTGTGCTTTGCTGTAATGGTGCACTACAACCAGGAATGAAAAGGTTTTGACCAGAAGTAAGAAAACCAAATGCCTAGTGCACACACAGCAGGGAAATAAGATCTCCAGCTGCTTTGCATGGAGTTCTTTTTAAAATGAGTTAAAATATTCATACACAATACTTAATTCCACTACTTTAACATTTGTTTTTCATGATGAATTAACTATAAAATGTTACTGGACCTTTCGACAAAACAAAGCATCCCTGGCCATTGTGACTGCAGTCAGAGGGACATGGTACACACACTCTAACACTGCCAAGAGAAAATAAAAAAGCAGAAAAAGCAGGCTGCCAAGGTATGTCCTCGGTTTGCTCAACAGCCTCTAGGATATATTTGCTATTAGCTATTTCAATTAGATCCTTAATGCCCTAATGTTGAAAAGGTAGATGTCCAACTCTGAATGGGATTGCCATGGTAACCATTCACAAAACAAGAGAGGGCCTTGCAGGTGGACTGAAAGATAAACACCTTTAGTGTAGATTATAGGGTGGCAGATTACAGTTTAAGAAGTGAACAGTTTTACTTAAGTCATACTAGAGGACACTGTAGTAGTCTGGTGTTAAGGTTGGAAATTTAGGGATCAGAAGATCTGGGTTTTAAGTTCTTATTTTATCATTTACTTATATGACCTTGAGTTCATCATTTAACATCTGTTACCAACTCTTAAAAATAGGAAGGTTAATATTCTCTCATAGGGTTATTCAAATAATCAAAAGAAATTGTGTTCTGTGCAATGTTAAGATATTTCAAAAACTGTAAAACTACCATTTGAACACTTTAAAACTTGTTATAAAAAGGTTAGAGAAGCAGTAAGTAGATTCCTTCCAAATATTAACATACTTGAAGCTCTAGTAATCAGCAGTAAATCCCTTACATACAGTGTTTTTCAGGTTATTTAAATAAATGACTGAGGGATGAAATGTTAAGTACCAGTCGCAAACTGTGTGCTCACCAAATATCTATTTCCTATACCTCTTAGTAGCTTGTAGTCAAGCTGGGGTCTTATGTCTAGGTTCTAGACAAAGCAGTGTGGGTAGAAGGCATGTCTCTTTCAGATCTGGCACTTAAAAACATCCAGGACCACCTACCAGTCTGCTCTTTCCCTGATTTGACAACATTTGGGGGCCACGAGTTCCAAGCACCATAGCTAAACATGGAGGAAGACTGACAAACCCATATTGGATGTGACATGAGCCAAAAGATAAACTTGTGTTGGGCCACACCAACTTAGTGCTTTTTATTTGAAGCATGGCCTATTCTCTCTGCAAGGAACCAAGCTAATTAGAGTTGATAATATACCCCCAATAAATAAAAATTCATAGAACAAGGTTCCTACCCTCTTGAAAAAGAATGAAGTTTTAGGATCCTGACTGGAAATTTATAGTCCATTCATGCCAAGCAACATGCTACTTAAGTTTCATTAATATTTTCTATATTTCATTAATATTACATGCTTACTATGTGTTAAGCATTAAACTAGGTAAAAAATATTGCTGAATCTTAAATATATGAATGCTGAGGTGGGTCTTTACCAGTATGAATCATTGGCATTACAATCCCTCTGAGCCCTCTATAATGTTTTGTAAATATAAAAAAAATTTAAGAAGTCTTAAGCAGCCAAGTGAAATAGCTTTTATATGAGTCAAATAATTTAATCAACAGCACCTCCACTTTTACATACAGCTTCAATGCCATATTTAGAAAAAGGATTAGACTGACCTATTTCATTATCTTTATCAACAAGGCCCAAATCTTTACAAATGCTTTCTCTATTAGATAATAATACATGTTTGTGACAGAAAATCTTATACTACTTTGCAAGGCTGTATTTTGATGTAGAAAAAAACAAAATAACATGTAACTACATAGTACTTCCCATACAAAAAATGTAAAGACCAACTGGAAGACTAGCCATGCCACTCACTGTCACAAAATGGACATGTAGTACTGGAGCAGAATAATCACCCCAAGTTTTATTAACAGACTGAATGTTTGAACAGCATTTACCATTCTTTATTACAAGTTAGGTTTATATGGCTGGTGTTCTACTCAACTCAGAGATTCTTGGTGGTAGAATGTACTTGTCTTACCAGCCCCAGTGACCAGCATGTTGTAAGCCCTGATGTATATATAGCAGGTACTTTATAAATGCTTATAAAATAATTGAAAAAAAAGGACAAATATAAGCAGAAGTATATTTACTAGATTTCCATGACCCATACTTACTTTAAATCCAATCTAGAAATAAAAGCATGGTTTACATTAGGCAACATATTTTAAAGATTTTTCTAACAGGCAATCACATGTGGGTATACACACTGCAAAACCTCTCCTGGCATCCTGAGATGCTTTCAAACACTGCACCAGGGGAGGCAAGACTGGCTTCCAGGGTGCTCTCCTTCCCATCATGCACCATAGAATGTTTTTCCACAAAAACCATGTTACCATAAACCTGTGAACATGTCTGGTAAGTTAAGGAAGGAAATACACAACTCCTAAGTAACAAGTGTTTACTTGCACCAGGAGGTAACAATTTGCTGTGGACTGCTCTGTGAGTCTAAGTATTTAATATATTGCTTCTACAAGAAAATACCTATTTAAATTTTCTGATTATTAAGTTTCTCATCAACATAAATTGAAGATAAAAAAATTGAGGCTAGGAAACAAAGTTTTACTCATTTTCTTTTCCACTTTTATGCTTTCAAAATTCAAAATGGATATGTCATGTAAAAGAAAATGTGAGGTACAAAATATTTCACATTTACATACTGGTAAACAAGAAAACTGTTTAAGAGTATCAAGACTCTCAAGCTAAAGTACAACGTGTTACCATTATCCAATCATGGCTAAATATAAGACTACATATACGGCACAGCTGGATCAGTACACTGCAAATATCCAGGAAGGTGAGGGAGACAAAATCCTAGGAGTTTTATGCCGTGGAGTCAGTTTTCCAACATGGAAACCATTCCAACATTCTGGTAAATTTAGCATAACTGGGAATCATTTTGGACTGAAATGTAAAGCAAAATTGATGCTGTTATGTAACATCAATTTCTAGCAGATCTATGAAGACTTTTATTCAAAGTACAGTGAATCTGGCTTTCATTTGACTGTTTCTTTCAACTTAAGATTTCAAAGTAAGTCTCAAGGAATTTTTCTTTCCAATATGATAATTCAGTCAACTTTAAAATGGAAAAACAACAAAAAACAGAGATGGTGCCTTGTAGAAATCAATGTCATGGAATAAAATATTCCCTAAAGTGGGAGTTTTACCTTAAGAACTAGAACGCTTGTTTCTGGTAAAGGATATTATGGGAACCCCTTGGGGGAGAAATTCTCAACAAACACTGATTTCATTTTCAACATTTCTGATTTTCTTTGATCACATCATTGCTCAAAAGCCAAAGAATTGTGTATTCCAACTGTTCCCTCCTTTGGTATATAGAACTATCTCTGAAACTTTGTATCATTTCTAATATTGTAAATGGTGAAGAGGTGACCATGTAACAAGCTGAAGGCCAAGTGACTAACTTGCTTTTTTTTCAAGACCCAGCTTTGTGAGACTATAAACATGGTTCCTTTGTTATTAGTCTCATTAATGTCTTATAAGATACTCAATGATGTCTTATCAGCCCCGGAAAAATGGTTGCTGCTCCATAACTCCAAAGAGTTATATGGTGAATGGATAACAAAAATACTTCAAAATGATGAATTTAAATGGAACAGTTACAACAGGGTGTTTAAGTGGTTGAACTGCTAGAAAACGGGAAGGCAGATGGGCTTCAACTATAATACCTAGCAAGGACTGATCTGTGTAGGCTTCTATGTACAGAGACAAATAGGGTTAGGCACTTGAATGAGGTTGATGAAAACCCTGGGAAGGAGCATGGGCCTATACTAACATACATTTTATATAAAAATGTGTATGTTTATATAATTTTATATATTAATATATATTATATAAATTATTAATAATAGTAACTTGCATGAAGAAATGTCATAAGTTCTGAAAATGAAATGATACAAGTTTGTCCAGAGTACCATAATATCAAGATTACAAAATCTGATGTTTTTACATTGTCAGATTTCCTTAACATTAGTGGCAAATACCTCAGTGAAATATTAAAAAATTATTGGCAACTATACAAAGCCCTAGCCAGTACAGATGTCACAGTACTGGTACCCATTTGGTAAAGAAAATATCACCATCCAAATATCTTAATATCTTCTATCATCCAAATATCTTAAACCAGTATTCTTATATTGTTCTAATCAAAGGTACTTTTGCTGTCTTGCCTTTATTACCCTCCAAACAAAAGTCCTTTGAAAAATTATAATATCCTACATATATAAAACTCTTGCTGTAGAAATCTCAAAAATGTAATGTTAGTAATGTCAATTATCTAAAGAACTCAGCCTCAGGAATAGCTTTTGAGTATTTATTGCTCAGATGGGTTCAAAAAATTCTTAGATGTGGCAATGGCTCTAACACATCTGTAAACAGAATACCACTAAAAAAAAAATCTGGCATGAAATACTGTAATTATGGATGTGTAAAACTTTAAATCTTAAAGCCTCTTAACATAATCATGTATATCTATGTACAAAACATACATAAATTTTACTTTATTTAAAACATATGAAAGAGGAAATTTCAAATCACACTAAACATAATAAATATAGAACTTGCTTTGTTAAAAATCTACAGTATACATTCAAGTAAAGGCTAAATTTCCAATGCCAACTATATGAGACAAAATTAAACATTTATAATAATCAGTTTCCTAAAAGTGCTATTTTTAATACCTATAAGAGGAAACTCTTTCTAGTGCTTTTGCGTCCATCCAAACACCTATACATTCCTTTATTCACAGAATCAGATGCTTCTGTTACTAAAAATAGATATCCAAAGCTTTTACATCCTTTTAAATAGATTTAATATTTAGCTCTTTGGGGAGGAACTGGGAAATCTAAACAAACAAGTCAGACCATCTTACATTATTAGAGATGACTGATTTTATGACACACCCTGTTTCAACTTAGATGTGAAATGCGGTGAACATGTTCGTGAAAAACGTTCCAGTCCAAGTATCTAAGGTAAATCATCTTTTTCTACATGAGCATTTGTGGAGGTCAAGGAGCACCCACTACAGCAACCTTCCTGTGAGCCAGGTCTTGATGCCACGCTCCATTTCTGATTTGTACATTCTCTTTCAACCTGACTTGGTTTAGTTTCTTCAGGAGTTATATTCAGTACATTGATTGAACTGTTGGGGAAAAAAAGGTAGATCTTAATATTATCATCCCCTCCTCCTTTTATACTTTAGATATGCCTGAATATCTACATCTGATTGCTCCCTTGTCCCATGCTAAGTAAATTTTGAGGACACAGATCAAGAAGTGTTTCAAAATGACCTAAACTTACCACTTTTATCTCTCCATCTACTTATGTTTATCCATTTATTTACTTTATCTCAAAGTCTACTCTGAAGCAGGCTGCCCAACGGAAGCCTTAGATAAATACAGAACAGGTGGGTTCTGCAAGCCCCCATATCCCCATCTTCCTGCTACTATTTTCTAATCTCTTTTTGGTTTCTTTCTTTACTTACCCATTTGTTCACACATGCATGCTTTCATCTACCCGTCTCACCGACACATTTAATGAGTGCCTACGAAAGTGGTTAACTAATAGTCCAGACTCTAAAGTCAGATGGTATAGATCCATATCCTGCTGGACCACTAACGATGTCACTTTCACCAAGTTAAACCTCCCCATTCTTCAGCTTCCTCAGTTGTAAAACAGAAATGGTAACAGAACCTATATCATAGGGTCAGGTGGTAACTAAACACACACTAGCAGCACTTTCAATGGTGCTCCACCGATTTTAAGAGTCAGACACTAACAATCTTAGTGTCTGAACAGACATGACTCCCATCTGCAGTGACATAGTAAGAGCTATACTTGGCAACCAGTCTCCAATCAAAGGAATCTGGTTAAGTAATTACTTTCAAAACTATAGGGATAAGTCAATGAACAATACATTTTTATCAACTGAGTATCTAAGGCAATTTTTTCACAAATTTTTTTTCCCCTAAATGTACATTTTTTTGTGACTGGTTTACTAACTTAACCTCATAATGTGGCAATCCTAAAAAATAAAGTTGCTTTAATTCTAAAAGTCTGAACCAAAAACAATTTAACAAATTACTTATACTTATTTGCCAATACTTTGAGAAAAAAAAAAGCTTCCTTATTTATCATTCAGCCTTCAGAATCCCCACGTCTCCGATGAGATGACATCAAGGATCAACTAAGTTCTCTAAGTAATTCAGTACATGAGTTACTTTGCATGGGATTCAGGCACAGCCTTTATGTAAAATTCTCTATAGTGAAAGACCAATGAGGATGTTGTAGAAGTCAGCTGCAAATATTCCTAATTATTTTGCTATAACTTTATTACAAACCCAGAACCAAGATGGCTTCAGGAGCAAGGAATCCAAATTACTAAGTAATTTAAAATTTCAAAAACTGTCTAGCACAGCTTCTTTCCTAATAACCAGTTACACAACTCTTTTCTATGTTGATCTTTAGAGATCAGTAACTGTAAATAGCTTAGTAGAGTTTCTTTACACTCCAAAATTCTTTTCCTAGGCCAACAATATTCCTCAGTGTAGCCCCTGGAATACAAGAACCAGAAAAACATTTTTATGATCCATTTGTGTTCACATATATTTTAATTTTTACAGCCAGTTACTGAAGGTTTATAATAGGCCAAGTACTGTGTTAAGTGCTTTGCATATGTTGAAACTTAATCTTGCAACGCCCTATGATGTGGGTACTAAGTGTTGGACTTTTTATCTTTACTAAACACAAAACAATGTCTTCAAGGAATATTATGTTAAATACTTCATAACTAAAAATAAATAAGTAAAAAAGTAAAAAAATTCTAAATACATAAAAATAACTGAAGCAACTAGGCTATGTTCACTCTCAGATACAGACTGCATTATTTGTAACTTGTCTATATCTAATCAGAACTATAGATATATCTATCTAACCACAGATAGTTTTGATTGGTCAAATTTGGGGGTTTCAGTAACATTCCATGTAAGAAAATACTTTGAGCTTATAAAATCTTTTTACTGTAAATTAAATAAAACTTTCACCTCCCATATTCAACCCATTGGTCAATCTACTGGCTTTAGAAGCAAAATATATCCTAAATCCAAGGATTCCTATGGTCATATTATGACTCTAGTCCAAATTACCATCCTCTCTCCCCTCAACTCCACTACTGCTTCCTAACTGGATCTCCTGGCTTAAATTACTGGCTCCTACAATGTTTTCCACATAATAAAAGAGTTTTGCTCATTCTCTTGCTTTAAAGTCTCCAATACTTTTCCATCCCTTAGAATAATATCTGACCCTCAAACAGACTAAAATATTTTATAAGAGAAAACTCAAGAATGTGTGTGTGTTGGGGATGGACAGCTGAGTGGTGTTATATACAAAAGATCCTGTCATGAGATGATTATTGCTGAAGCTGGGTGATGGGTACACAGGGGTTCATGACTTCATTCTCTCCACAACTGTATATATTTGAACTTTTACATAAGGATTTTAACCCCAATCTACTCACCCAGGGCCTTATAAGGTGTGACCTTTACCCACGTCCCACCAGCATCTCCCGCCTCCTGGTCTGGCTCACTAATGACACTCGCCATCCACAAACACACCAGGGTTACAACATTTGCCTAGAGAGCTGTTGCCCCAGCTCTTTTGCCCCTGAGTGTTTAGAGTCCTAATTCTTTTAAAAGTTAACTAAGAGTGTCTTGTCCTTTTTAAAATCTTCATATTTTTGTTATAAAATTCATCTGTAGCAATTCTTGGCCCAAGGGCTAGCTGGTTTCTTCAACACTTACCTCCACGCCTGTCCCTCACTATAAGAGGCCAAGCATGCTAGAGCCTCGACTCCTGCTTTCTGAGGCTCCTGCCAAACTGACAGGACCTCATGCCAGGTCTCCTACTACTTAAGAGGAAAGAGATCACCCCACACTTTTCAACATAGCCCTTTGCTCTTTTCTATTCCTATCTCACTAGGAATGTCCTATTTGCTTAGTTCAAAATTAATCCTGGAATATTGATATTATACCTTAGAAAATGCTTTAGCAATTTAAGACAGAGAAAAATACCAAAACACAATGTATTAATAGCAATGTATGGGTTTCCTGGGGTTGGGTGGGGTGGAGAACAACTTTCTGCCCTACTATCCTTGGGCACAGGCACAGATCCTCTTTACCAGTAAAGATGAAGAGGCTTTTCTCTACTGATAAAATAGCACACTAAAAGAAACTTTAAAATTGTGCTCTGCAAGAATTGTCTAAACAATATCCTCCTACTTAACAAAATTAAAGTACTCCAAATAGTAAGTGATTCATGTAATTAAGACCGCATTTTAAATTGCATTTTAGGTATGAAATAAAAAGAATCACATTATACGATTTAGCTCCCAGAAGACAGGGACAGACACCTTGTTTACTATTGTATTCCCATCACCTAACAGGGGTCTACATGGAACCCATAACAAAAATAATTCGTGGAATGAACGAATCAACCTACTAACTTCCTCTCCACAGCCTCCACTGTTGCTGACACTAAAGACATAGCGACTTTTCCTCAACAGTGCAACTCTTGCAACATTATGGACGTGTGAGACATGTGAAAGGATCACCTAGGGACCAGTACCTATGCTCAGATGCACAGGAGCACATCTGGAAAAAGTCTGAAGTCGAAGGAGAAGCAGGAAGAGATTTGGTCAGTTTAGACGTGCAGACTGGAGACCTGTTAGACACTCTGTAAAGCTTTTTCTGCCGTGGCTTTGAGGGCGCTGTGACATTGTCCTGATCAGAACCTGATTAAAAATGAAGGAAAAAAGGCAGTACATATGGTGAGGTGTTAAACAGAGTGAAGGTAATAAGCTAGGATGATTTCTCTGCAGTTCTGAGTCTGGTATGAGACACAAATTAATCTGAATACCTGCTCTGGCCCTGACTCTAGTCTACCTAATCTTGCCACTCTTTTAACACATATTCCATATTTAAAAGAATCTCATTTTAAAAATATTTCTAGATTGTCAATTTTCAAAAATCCGATATTATTACACTCACAACAAAAGTTGTTTTTGATATGCACAGTCCTCCTGTCATTCCCATTCTGACTACAGTTAAATAAATGTTGATTTTTTTAGTTCCAATTAGAGAACTCTTACTGGTCATCTCCAAAATTTTATAGTATTTACAGTAATGTGTTTACACGCATTTTCAGATTAAAGAAGTTTATGAGGTACTCACTTCCTGAGAAGGCACTGAAAATTTTCACATTTTCTGAGTTCTGGTGGTCAAAGGTAGTCATATTTAAAAACTGCTGCTTTAACCAATTGGCTCTTTCTTCTTCAAATGCCTTTCTCTAACATAACAAGCAAGCCAAAGAAATACTGATCAATATTTCAACATTCACACAGTTGCCATTTCACACGATTGCTCTAGTATTTATATTTGCATTCTGGCTATCGCTATCATGTATATTTAGTTAAATGAATTAACCTGAAAAAATAAGAAAATTTTCATTTAAATATTAAAAAAATTAAAATTCACCCTTTTCACCTAAATAAACTAACTGACCATTATTTTCACATAAATTTTTCAAAAATTCAAATGGACAGCAAAAAAATAGCATATCAGCATACCATCTGAACATACAAAACATTATAAATATAAAATTTCAATAAAAATACTCTGCTGTAAATTAATCACTTGAAAAAAAGGAGCTATGACGTCCTCAAGCACTGCTTTGCTCCTCAAGGATACCAGTCACCAGCATCAGCAGCCCCACCACTACACCACAGAGGGCATATGCCCCCTCTGCTTCTGCACGGCTGATGAATCCTACACTGACTCCTCCCTCTCCCCTCAGGTCTTATCGTTCCTTCCCAACCTTCACTGGCCTCACTGTCCCCAGTGACCAGAGGCAGCAAACCGGCAGTGGTATAGAAAAATGGCAAGATGCTCTACATCTCTTAGAGCAGGATGGGAGATACAGGCTCAGGAACAGGTGATCCCGTATGATGGGAGAAAATGCTGGTGCAAACGGCTTTTGTTTCCTCACAGAGATAGCTACTGATGAGAATGACTTTCACAATTGGGGAGAAAATCCATGTCAGCTAAATAAACAGCATATAGTCTTTCATTCATAAAATATTAATGCAGAATCATGCATCTCCAGGTATTTGAAGGAAACCAACAGCATAAAAGAAAAAGGCCAAGATGAATAGAGAGAACTGACCACAGATAATAGTTCAAGGTAATCTTTTTATAAAACTAGACCATGAATTATCAGATTTGTGAACTTCTGGTAAAATAATAGTGTTATACAAAGAATAATAAAAAATAAGGACGTTAGAAGACTTAAAAGATAAATTCTGAAAAAAACTCAGTGGATAAATAATAAAACTGACCTTGTTTAATACCAGGTTGGCAGTGCACAAGATAAAAGTGAGAGAATCTCTCTAAATTCAGAGGATAAGGTACTCTACAGATAGACCCAGAAAGCCACACATTTGCCTAAGAGAAGTTCCAGAAGGCAAGACAAGTCAAAGAAGGAAAAAACAGAATCAAAGGAAATATCCCTAAACTGAAGAAGTATGGTGACTTCAGGCTAAATGAAGCTACTAGATATATCATGGTAAAATTCAGGTACTTTAAGAATATAAAATTTCCAAAGCTTCCAGAGAGGGGTAGAAAACAAAACACAGGCATCTACAAAATAATGTTAATTATATGATAATCAGGCTTCTTATTTACAAAACAAAAACTAGAAGAAATGAAATAATGAAGTTTTGAGGAAAAAGTTGGAAACTAATTTCTATATCCAGTCAAACCAATGCAGTAAGAATATATTTTTGGATATTCTAGAGTTCAGAATACTTTTCACTCATGCACTACTTATGAGAAAATTATTTAAGATGGTAATATAGCAAATTGAAAAAGGAATCCAAGAAAGAGAATAATATAAAATATAAGCTGAATCTGACTCAGAAAATCATAAAGGAAGCTACAAAGAAAGTAAAAGAATTCACTACATGGTGATAAATGGAAGTTCTCTTTCAGGTGGCAAAGTCTTAATAATGTACATTTAATGTGTACAAATGTCTTACTTGGTTATAGAATGAATATTATTTACATACTCCTGATATTATCAATGCTCTTTCCCAGTTTTTAATGTTTTAAGTCTCAACCTTAGGCAAAATACTCATACCTGATTTATGTTACAGAGAATAAACGTGACAAGACTTGACAATGAAAAATATTATCATAGACAAAAACTGGGAGGTAAAGGGGCAAAAGTGGGACAAGGGTAACTATAAGAGTGCCCCCATCTTTCACTGCAGGAATAAACTGATACTGTGCGAAGCTGAGCCAACATCAACATTGCAGCACTGAGCATATTACTTACCTAAAGTAAAAAAGTCAATCAGAAAGAAACAAATTTTTAAAACATGGTTTACAAAAGTGACAATACTATGAAGAAATCATATGTAGAAGGGAAGTACAATAAGGACACTAAATTCTTATCTTTCACAGCAGGAATTCAATAGACTGATCTCAAGAAAAAAAGACTATAATATAAAGTTAAGATAGTACTTACCAGAAGAATTACAAACTTTAACAAGGGTTACCTCTGAGGAATAAAACTAGAGATACGAATGGATGGTATTTCTCACTTGATAGCTTTTTGTATGGGTCTATTTTTTTAAACCATGTTCAGATGTTACTTCTGTAATTTTTGAGATAGAAATATGTATAGATAGTACAATGCTAAACAAGTCAAAAAGTGAGCTACAGAAGTGTATACACAACCGTCCCAAATGTTACCTGTGAACACATACCTCCCTGGGTGAAGGGTGGCAGAGAGGGAGAACATTTTTTATTGTACTTCCTTTTTTTAAAAATACAAACATGCTCTTGGTTGCACTGTCTTCTAACACTACACCTATTGACAGTGGATAGATGACAATGTCCAAAAGAAATCTTTTGTGTGAAGGTAACACTGAAGAGCAGAAAGCCAAAACAAAAGGGTAAGTGCTTATAGTTTAAAATAAGTGTCAATTCCCAAACCTGGTAAAGGCAAAACAATATCCCTTGCAACAACAGCTCATGTGCTTAGCATCCCTTCCACTTCAAGTTGTTTATGAGAACATCAATCACATATTTTAGCAAAAAACTGGATATTTCAGCAAAAAAACAGTGAAAAGAAGAACTCAGATGCATTGTACTGAGGCCTCTCTAGAACTTTCAAAAGCTCTACAAAGAAAGCTAATGGTTTAAAATACCTCCAACCCTAGGCGAATAGCTGCATCCGTAAAGCTTCGTCTTTCCTTCTCAAAATTCTTTTTTTGCTCTTTAAATAGAGACCATTCTTCTTTGAGGCGTTCCTTTTCTTCCAACAAGTAACAGTCTCGTAGCAGTGAAGTGGTGTCATCATCACACGCAGTAGCAAGCTGCTGCTATTAAATTTTAAAACATAGTAAGCTCCAGAGAGTCCCTGCAACTCTCCAAATTGAAATTAAAGCAAGGGAAGGCAGCTCAAACTTTAATGCAAAGCCAGATTATGAAGAATCAGAAAGTCAACTGAGGACCCTCATTTTCACACTGGCAGAGCACTAACTAAGGAATGGCATGCAGTGTACCTTTATAAGCAGAACTCAGAATACAGCAGAAAAATGCCAAAACTACCCATCTTATGAAACAAAGGAATAAAAATCTTCTAAGATTCAGTAAAATTCTGGCCCTTCACAGGGAAGAAGATAATTCAAATGTACCTGTAAAAGTTGCTGCTGAGTTTTAATCATTTCTTTACACTGTTGAATTTCTAACTCGAGTTTTTCAGTTTCTTGCTCATGGTCTTGTCGTGAGATTACATCTTCGTCATTAAAACCTTCTAGGTGTACCTTTGAAACTAACACAAACCCAGTAATATGACAGGTTTTACAGCTACCATTTAGTTTATGGTGTTTTTTGGACTTATATTTAAAATAAGGTTCTCAGAACTTTTCTCTTCCCAGACTCTGATGTTTTATAAAAATTTTGTAAGCTATAATAAAACTAAATCCATATTTTTTAACACTATGAAAAAACTTAAAAAGTAAAGCATCTATAAAAGGAGTTCATAACAGCTATAAATTCATACTATTTTTGGACTAAATATATCCTTACAAATAGCTCTACTGTGAAGAACATTTAATTTGTAATCTTTATTCAAGACTAAGTCCTAATTAAATATGGACAACTTATATTCACAGAAGAGAAAAATAAATTCATAAATTGCGTTCTTTAAACATCAATGCTCTACTACAAATCTTGCTCTGTGGCATTAAATTCAACAAATCCAAACATACTTGCTATTTACTAAATAGTGATGACTGAAATCAATAAAACTTTGTATAATTTTGGCACTATAATAATTATGCTGATTGCTCTTTACTACTGAAGACAATTGGCAGTGAGTTTATAATTTTAACAATTTAGAATATATTTTTTTTCTTTAAGTAGAGCACATTTACTGAGCAGGAACATTAATTTTCTTGATTTAAAAGCATGTAAATTTCAACAAACAGAATATGTTAAGGATGTATTCATCAACACAGGTCTATCAATACTACCTATACAGGAAGTGGTGTCTAAAATACACTGTTAAGTGAAAAAAACAAAAGTGCAGAAAAAAGTTTGTAATGTTCAATTTTTGTTTTTTATATATTTTAAATAAATACTTTGCAAATATATAGAGAAAAGTCTAGGAAGATACGCACCAAAATGTTAAGTGCTACACATAAGGAACAGAGCCCTGAATACTCTACTTCATGTATTTTCTGATATTTGACATTGCACATTTATTACTTTGAAAACAATTTTAAAATGAATTATAACAAACCTAGGAATATGCAGCAAGTATCTAGTAATAAAAGGTTCATATTATGATATTTCTTGATTTCCAAGATGTACTAAGAGACTTAGTTCGCTTAATTCAATTTTATGTTGCTCTCAGAACAGATGGATACTTGATGTCCTCTTTTCAGAGAAGAGTCATTCTGAGAGCAAAGTATTTTCACAGTGAGGCTCAAACCTTACAACTAGAAATAGACGGATCCTTGCTTTTCAAACCACCAAACTAAACTAAAGTATTGCAGATTGGAGCCTATAATGTGGCTGAAACCTAGGAGCTTACTGAGTGCTATTACTCACTATGCATGCATTCAGGCAGTAGTTACCTTGGTTATCAAGTTTTTCTACATGACTTTTCAAAATTCTCCACTGTTTTCTGATGCTGTTTGTAAGCTGTTCTCTCACAGTTTCACAGGAAAGGTCCCACATACTCTCTCTACTTAGTTCCCCAGCATCTTCCTCAACATCAGAGATAACCTACAAGAGGTGAGAGATGAAAAGGAAAGACCACTATCTTAAAATGGCTTTAGATACCCAGTTGGTAGTAATCAGATAGACTATCAGAGCTAATTATCAAAATCATTTTTGTGTTATACTTTAAATATATATGACCCACTACTTAACATACATATTTGAGAAAAAGTAATTAATATTGAAGATAGAAATTCCCCAATTCAGGTCTCTTCAAACATGAATTTATATCCAGATATGCTACTGACAAGAGGCATGGAGCTGTGTGAGGGAGTTATTTGCTACCTAATGTGTTGGGTGCTTTCACAGGTTAGCCAGTCCTCATATCACATTACACAGTGGGGAAGCTGAGGCTTAGAGAAGTGGAGGGCTTTGCCCAATGTCACACAGCTAAAAGTAGAATTGAGGTTTGAAACTACATCAACTTTTCTCTAATCCTTAGCCATTTAAATAAATAAACCTGTGAAGTGATCTGCAAACTAAAAGCAGCTGTTGGTCTTATTTTTCTTATATAATTCTTTTATAAAATGAGATGATTTTTATGGTATTCTCTCAGGACATTAAATTATAGGTAAAGGTAACATACCTCACTGACATATGACCTTATAGAATCAAAGCAGGATAAAGAATATAAGGATGAGGGATTACGCTCCCTGACTTCAAGCTCTACTACAAAGCCACAGTAATCAAGACAATTTGGTACTGGCACAAGAACAGAACCATAGACCAATGGAACAGACTAGAGAGTCTACATATAAACCCAAGCATATATGGTCAATTAATATATGAATAAAGGAGCCATGGACATACAGTGGGGAAATGACAGCCTCTTCAACAACTGGTGTTGGCAAAACTGGACAGCTACATGTAAGAGAATGAAACTGGATTATTGTCTAATCCCATACACAAAAGTAAACTCGAAATGGATCAAAGATCCAAATGTAAGTCATGAAACCATAAAACTCTTAGAAGACAACATAGGCAAAAATCTCCTGAATATAAACATGAGCAATTTTTTCCTGAATACATCTCCTCAGGCAAGGGAAGCAAAAGCAAAAATGAACAAATGGGACTACATCAAGCTAAAAAGCTTCTGTACAGCAAAGAACACCATCAGCAGAACAAAAAGGCATCCTACAGTATGGGAGAATATATTTGTAAATGACAATATCCAACAAGGGGTTAACACCCAAAATATATAAAGAACTCAATGCCTCGACAACCAAAAAACAAATAACCCGATTAACAAATGGGTGGGATATGAATAGACAATCTTCCAAAGAAGAAATTCAGATGGCCAACAGGCACATGAAAAGATGCTCCATATCACTAATTATCAGGGAAATGCAAATTAATACTACAATGAGATATCACCTCACACCAGTAAGGATGGCCAGCATGGAAAAGACTAAGAACAACAAATGCTGGCAAGGATGAGGAGAAAGGGGAACCCTCCTACACTGCTGGTGGGAATGTAAGCTAGTTCAACCATTGTGGAAAGCAATATGGAGGTTCCTCAAAAAACTAAAAATAGAAATACCACTTGACTCAGGAATTCCTCTCCTAGGAATTTACCAAAACAATACAAGTTCTCAGATTCAAAAAGACAATATGCACCCCTATGTTTATTGCAGCACTATTACAATAGCCAAGATATGGAATCAACCTAAGTGCCCATCAGTAGATGAATGGATAAAGACAATGTGGTACATATACAATAGAATACTATTTAGCCATAAGAAAGAAACAAATCCTACCATTTGCCAACAACATGGATGGAGCTGGAGGGTATTATGCTCAGTGAAATAAGCCAGGCAGAGAAAGACAAGTACCAAATGATTTCCCTCTTTCGTGGGGTGTAACAATGAAACAAAACTGAAGGAACCAAACAGCAGCAGACTCACAAACTCCAAGAAGGGACTAGTGGTTACAAAGGGAAGGAGTGGGGGAGAGTGGGTGGGGAGGAAAGGAGAAGGGGATTGAGGGGTATTATGATTAGTACACATGGTGTGGGGGTGATCATGGGGAAGACAGTATAGCACAGAGAAGACAAGGAGTAACTCTGTGGCATCTTACTACACTGATGGACAGTGACTGCAATGGGGTCTGGAGGGGGACTCAATAATATGGGTGATTCTAGTAACCAATTTGTTTTCCTTGTGAAACCTTCATGAGAGTGTATGTCAATACCTTAATAAAAAAATGTAAAAACTAACAAAATAAAATAAAATATACCTTCACAGGTGAAAAAAAAAGAATCAAGGGAAACAATACTAAATAAAATGTACATGACACAATCTACATCTAATAAAATGATCCTCATTGGTTATTAACATGTAGTAAAGTGGATATGCTTCACTAATTTGAATGATATCTTGCTGACAAAAAAAGAGAAGATAGAGGATGAAAAGAAGGACTTATGAGACTGCTCCGACAAGTAGCTGCAGTAGAAATGAGGAAGCAACTTGGTCTGAAGAAATCTATAAATAGTCTGAAATCAGGGATGGGCTGGTAAAGGGTCAAGGTTTCCCAGGTGGAATAGGTAGGGAAAGGCCTAGGATGTTGGTTCACTGTGACTCCCGGGCTTGCTAATCAATCCTTTGGAGCTACATGCCAGTCATTTCCAAGAAACTACACCTTCTATATGGGTTAAAGCATATCCAAATACGACAGATCCATTATTTAAAAAATTAACAATAATTGCTACACATTTCTCAAACTTAATTAAACTCTAAAACCACAAAAAGAAAATTTAAAAATTCGCTTAACTTTAACTTTGTGTACATATTTCAGGACCAATTAAATAGCAAAACAATGAGTGAATGAGACCTGGATGCTATCTAGGCATTCCAAGGTTATGTTTTATTCCTCTTGCTATAATGCTCCAAATCCTGAAAAGGAATGACTGAAGTACTTAAATTTTAAAAGAAAAAGTATCTATGAAAACAGATCTTTTAAAAACAGCAAATATACTTAAAAGATTGTTTCTCCAAATTTAAATATCCGAAATATGAACAGTTATACAGGATACTATCCACTGGCTGAGTAACAGGCATAAGAGAAAAATTTAAATATCTGATAAAGATCTCCTTACTCTGACTGAAAGCTGGTAATGAGAGGCTAGTAAAGGCTGGGCCCAAAACAGAAGAAACCACTTAAGTAACAGATTATGCTACCCTTGGAGAGGCATTAGTTGAATGTTAAGGACTAAAAGTGACAGGCTTTGAGAGAAAAGGCCAACTAAATAAAAGAGGTCGGGCAGGACCCAAATTGGCAAGTTTAAAAGAACATTCAGGTTTATATCTTTTGTTTTTTTTGGAAACAAGAAAAAAACAGGAAGGATGGGCTTATCACTTGGACTGATTTGTGATTCTACAAAATAAAAATCCTTAAATATAAATACAAACATATTAAATCCTTAAACATAGATTTAAAAACCAAATTCTAGAGACTTGCTGGTAATTAGCATTTTCAATCAATATTGTTTTCAGATTTTAGTCACTTGCTTGAATCTAAAATCTAAACACATAAAGCAGTTAAAACAATTTTTCACCATTACAATTTGTTTTTTCAGACTTCTGCACAAATTTTATTCCCCCTGCATCAAGTGCTTTCCCCATGTTTTCTACCTCAAAAACACATACTTATTTTTCAAGAGTCAACTCAAATTTCACTTTATCTGTGACGGCTTCCTTTGATTGCCACAATTGCTGTTTTATACATTCTATCTCTCCATTACAGCTCTTAACATATGTAACAATTACCTCTCTACATAGACAGGCTTTGTAAGCCTGCCTTACAAAGACAGCTTCTAGAGGGATGCAATGGACTGAATGTTTGTGCTCCCTCAAAACTGAAATTGTATGATTTAAACAGTTATTAAAAGCATGACCTATGGAGATAAGATCTGAATTCAAATTCTAGTTCTGCTGTTCTAGATAGAATTCAAATTCTAGTTCTAGATAACCATTGTGCCTCAGTTTCCTAATCTATAAAAATGGGGATAATTTTAATATCATAGCATCATATCATTGACATCCTAACCCCCAGTGTGATGATATCAGGAGGTGGGGCCTTCCTTTGTGAGATGGGATCCTCATGAACGGGATGAGCATCCCTATGAAAGGGACCGCCTGGAGCTCTCTTTCCAGCAGGTGAGGATACAAGAAGTCAGCAGTCTGCAGCCAGGAAAAGGGCTCTCCCCAGACACCACCCCTGCTGGCACCCTGACTCCAGAACACTGAGAAATAAATTTCCCTGGTTTATAAGCCACCCAACCTATGGTGCTGTGTTAGGGCAGCCTAACTAAGAACTAAGACAAGGGAAAAACTTAAAAATCCTTTTAGCTTCTTCTTTCCAGGGACTAGAAGGTAATGTACATTTAATAAATTCATGGACCAAATGCCTCGTTCGGTGCCCAAAGTTTCCCTGTCTGAAAAGTAGAGCCTACTGAAGTTCCCAAGACTCAAACTAAACTATTTAAAGACTATTCAGCACCGTCGTTAAAAGCATGACCTCTGGAGACAGACTTGAATTCAAATCCTAGTTTTGTCATGTGTGATACTGAGATAACTATTGTGCCTCCATTTCCTCATCTATAAAATGGGGATAATTTTAATACCAACAGCATCATATCATGAGTGTGAAATGAGACAATTCTTATAAAGTACTGATCACAATGCTTGGTACAGATTAAGTCCTCTGAAAATCATCTCCATAATTTCCCAGAGTATATCTGGAAACATAAAGGAACACTTTTTTTAGTTGTCACAGTGACTGGAGGTGGCACAGCAGTTAGTGTCCTGCCCAAAGTATCAACAGTGTCCCATTGAGAATACCTAACTACTGTTTTAATTGTTCTAATTAGCAATCTGAAACCATATGAGGGAGGAAAGAGCCACTTACAGTTCCTGTATTATCATCTGCTCTTTCTCTAGGTTTCTGCTTTTGGGGAGAAAGAAGAGAAATCATTTCCTTTTTCATTTGCTGAAGAACCTTCTTAAGTTCAGCATTTTCCATTAGGATTTGTTTCTGACGATATTCGTAATCATTCAAGAGGTATTTATACATTTCATCTTCATTCCTGAGAAAGAAACTGTCAGTAGAAAAATGCAGTACAGAAAGAAAAGTCTGGTTAAATTTGTCAGTTTAAATCGGAACTCACCTGGCTTCAGTTTTACCAGTCCTCCAGGAACCTCTTTTTCCATCAGCTCTCCCAACATAATTTAGAATTTCCATAGCTACAAACATAAATGCACAAAACAAAACCAATTCTTACCATACATGCTTAAGTGTTTCAAACCTTAACAGACTGAGTACACATTAGGGACACAAGTGAACCTGGCATGTGGATTAGGATTTGAGTGCCACCAGCCTACACTTTTAAGTTCCAGTTCCATCACATATAAGCACTGAGATATTGGCAAGCTATTTAACTGCTAAGCCTGTTTTTTCACAGATACAGTGGGAATAATGAAAGTATCTACCAAAGAATTGTGAAGAATAAGAGAAATGTTAAAGCACTTAATACAGTACATACTTAATAAATGTTATTTTATTAGCATTATCATCATCAGGCATTGGCAAACTACGACTGCTTTGTAAATATTTTATTGGAACACATTCACCACACCATTTGTTTATATATCATCTACTGCTACTTTTGTGCTATACTGGCAGAGATGAATAGGTGTGGCAAGAGACCACTGACCCCACAAACCCAAAAATATTTCTTACTTGAATCTTTACAGAAAAAGTTTGCCAAGTTCCATCACCACCACCATCGGAGGAGTCAAGGCCCCTGACAGAATTAATATCTCTCCTGCCCCAGGTGGAGATGGAGGCAGTTGGCATAAGGAGGGAGTAAGATGAGAATAAAATCACTGTAATTTTTAGAGCTCATAAAATCATTATGAATCTGTCAGTTCCAACTGGGTTTGGACCAGAACAACCAGATCCCCCAGAAAACCAAGGTTAAATGTTAAATAAACTTCTCTAACTAGGTGTTAGCTACATTTTATACTTCCAGCATTTCATCCTGCTCTTCAATTTTGTTATTTGCTCAATGAATGAACAAGGGGTTAACTAACCTTAAAAAACCAATGAGTGTCCATGTGAAGTTTAAGATTTATTACATCAGAATACCTAAAGATTTCCAACCTTGTCTTAACTGTTTATGACATTTTCATTTTTTGCTGATTTTTAAAATAAAATATTTGAATAACTGCAGCAGCTCTGCTGTACAGAATGGCCGCGACATGCTCAACACTGAACTGTGTGCTGACAGCAAGCCAACACCACGTGACAGCCTGAAACATCTGCTCATCAGCTGTTGTATCAGCAAGTCCAGGTTGAAGTTAGGAAAGGCAATTCAGGGGTATAGCCATATAATGTAGGTTAGAGGACAGCCTACAGTTCACTTGGAAACCACTCCTCAATAAATAAATGCACAGATTTCCTAATCCCCGAGTCTTATCGGGACAGCAAAACTTTGTCTGTGAAGCTATACTTTTGTGCATATGCATACACTTTTACTTGAATTATGCACACAATTCAATGACATACGTTGCTATTTAATTTTCAGAAGAATAATACTAGGTAAAAGTATACCTTAGGCATAAATATAACTTTCATAGTCCATCCTTTTGACTAGTGGCTTCAAAAATGCAAAGCTAAACATTTAAAAGACCTCAAACAGACATAAATGACTTTATGAAGTTAACTACAATCATACTTCTTTTGATATTCAGAAACAAATCCTGATTTTTAATATTATCGATTTTTTACTATGGAAGATTAATGTCCTCTGGCTTAGTGTTTCACTATAGGTTAATTCTACCCCTGTCATGTTAAAAAGAAGTACACAATTCTTATAAGCAACTAATGAAGCTAAGTAAAGCAAAATTTATCATTAAACAGATGTCTGAATTTCTGGTTTATATGTCTATACACCATCTAAAAACAATTGCATAAAGCATGACAATAACACTGATGAGTTAATGGGCTGGATCTTTTACATTTACTTCTTGGCAAAATATTAGCTTATTCATTCTCTTTGCTCTATCTAAACCAGCTGCTCCTTACCTATTCTTTTATCCTTCTTGTTCATAACAAGTTGATGTAGACGTTCCTTTAATTTATTATATTCACGTTCTTTTCTCTTCATATCATGATTATACTGAGTAGCTCGACTTGCAATGATATTTTGTAATTTCTGTACCTGAAAAAAGCATTTCCTATCAAATGAGTCCCTTTAGGATTGATACACCCAGTTAAAGACTTACAATTTCACAAAAGAAAAGAAGTCATAGCATTTACCTTTCCATTAAATAGTTTAAAAATTTAGGATTATTCTTTCTTCTGTCATAACAACTGGAAATCACTCATCAAAACATTATTAAATGAATCACATAAAGTTTTTATTTTTCAATTCTGAAATTTCCGGAGCTGCTAACTTTCTCAATTATCTTCTACATCTTTCACCCTACATATAGATTCTGATCATTTAGAAACCAGGAATGCTTAGCAAAGTATTAAAGTGATTAAAACTTCATCTGAAACAAAGTAGAAGTCATCTGCTCATTCGTGGTGACTTCCTTATACGGATTTGAATCTCTCCATTTTTTCATCAATCTGTGACAAGGCAAATTAGCCATGGCACATGGCAACAGGTAAAAAGGTTTGTTTTTTCTCTGATCATAAACAGTTTCCAAATCAGAGTAAGTCCAAACAGCAGACAGAACCAGCTCAAATATTTGCTCAGTACATACTACATGCCAGGCACTGATTATCTAATGTTTATATCTGTTATGGGCTTCTCAGGCAGTCCTTGATAGGAAGTATGTCTATTCTATATAGACATTCTTAATCTCTGCTGGAGATGATCATGTTTAACTTAATCCTTATTAAAGATGAACTATATTCAATCTATTTAATTGTAATCAATAGACAAGTCAAAATTTTCTGTGAAATATCTCAAGGATAATGCATAAGCAACCTTATAATTTAGTTACTTCATTACTCACTAAATATAATGTTATACTGTTAAATAATCAAATACGGTAAAATGTGTTTAAATCACTGCAAAGTCCTTAAAGAAATATGCTTCCCTAAAAGTCCTCAATTATAGTTAAAATAGCATATACAACACTAAAAATAAGTATTATATTTTTACAATTATCACATGGTCAGAGATCAACTGGAAAGCAATAAAAAACAATGTTTTTTTCTTACTTGAATAAAAAAAAAATTTCAAATGCATTAACTCTATAGGTCCCAATACTATGTAACTGCTAAAGCAGAAATGAGATTATAACTTAGTATCTTTAGTTTCAGATATGAGATTTTTAAAGTATATTGCTTTTCTTAATGGTAACTCTTGTGCCCATTTAATCAAGTAACTGCAAGACTGGATGAACAATGTCAGTATTTAAGATAGTGCAAGAAGAGGCATGCCAGCTATTACACACAGGTATGGCAAAGAATAAAAGATGTGCATTTAAAGCACCCCTGTGCCTAAGAAAAAGTGATAGTGCCTGTGAGTCCAGAACAGACAGTACAGGACACTGGTTGTCACAGGCTATGGACAAGCTGAGTGGATCCACTTGCAGCAGGGAAAGCCCCTGACCTAATTAAATACGAAACACTACTGTACACAGAGGTCCATCATACAAATTGACACAGGATGAATAAAAGTTTCTTTCCTGTTTTAAAGTGGCTCTTATGGTCACCTCAAATTATAAAAACAAAAAAAAACATTAACTTCACTTGAACTTTATATTCAGTAACTGACACTCACTTCATCTTTTTCGTTTTTTAATAGCTGATGTAAATTCCGGTTCTTGCATTGTAACTGTCTGTCTCTTTCTTGAAGCCCAATCATCTCTCTCCTGGAGGTTTCTAGTTGTTCCTAAAACATTCATGTGCAATTTGATTAAAATTTATGTAGGATTCAGATCAACTAAATTCTTAAAAGATTAGGAAAAAAACTTATACATACTAGAGTTTGTTAGCTAAAATTAAAGTTTTATGTCACACAAAATGTTTATTTAAAGCAATTATTATTAAGCTCTTTACTATAAAGTTACAAAATCTGTATTTAAACATCAAATTTTATTTAAATATATTTTAGTATGTAGAAGAGTTTCAAAGTGGATCCCTTGAAAGTGTCTTCATATTTATTCCAGTGATGTTGATACTGGACATTTCAAAAGTTTTTTTTAATACTTTTTTTTTTAACAGTTCTCTAGCACATTATTTGAGAAGGAGGCAAAAGTGATTCAGAACTAAATCTGAAGAAGACCAAGCAAAGTGGCAACTCTTCAGGTCAAAAGGTTGACACAACACACCACCAGTTCTCCTTCGCAGGTGGTAAAGCCTCTGAACATTGTTTCCCACTGAGCAACGGCAGTACTGCGGGGATCAGGGTGGGATGAGATGCTCACTTTCAATTCATTCCACACATTTCTTGAGAAAACCAAGTCTTGCATGAAGCTGCTGGAATGTTTTTTAAATCCTCTTATTTTTATAAAATGTAAAAACCACTCAAGTTATGTCATAATTTACCACAAACAACAATTTGCAAAATCTCTGCAACAATGTATCTCAAGAAGATAGAGAAAATTTAGGAATGTAACTCAGATTACTCTAAGGCTGTCATAATTTTTGGCATCCTCTTTCTGGAGTGTTTAAAACCCCCTATCCTGCCAGACCACTTCACATAGATAAATGTAAAGGCTCTGGGCCAGCTGCTATGTCCCATATGTCAAATCAGAGAGTCATTCCAAGTGATTATCAACACTTTACTTGAACTTATCAGCATGTCTGCAAATCTGTACACCACCCCTACACTTATCTCAGTGAATCATATCATCATTCTCAGTAAACTCAAGACAGAGACCTGGACGGTATCTTAAATTCATGACCATGACTTATTCCCCAAATTCAATTTTTCATAAAATTTACCCATTCTGCTGCCTATGTTTCCTTCCTATCTCACTCTCTCCCTGACACTGCCTTAATTCTGAGTCCTAAAGCTCTCTGGCCCGGCACCTGCTCGGCCTGCTAGCAGCTGTCCTTTCCACCAGGCATTCTGAGCCCCCTACCTCCATCCCAAATACAAATGTGCACATCCCCCTATGATTTCTCTGCCCTGCTGTCAGATTAATATTTACATTATGGCTTCCCCCTGCTTACATTCTTCAGTGTCTCCAGGTTTCTGTTCAATGCCTCTCATATCATCTGCAGCCTGGGTCCCAGCCTTACCTCTTAATGCTCATCACATACTTTAGCTCCCACAGAGCTACTGAGTATTCCCTGAAAGTAAAATTCTATCATATCTCCATACTTTTATACAGATTATATGCTCTGACTAGAATGTCTTTTCCAAACACTAGCAAATTTCTATTCATTCCTCAAATCTCAGATCACGTCTTACCCCTCCATGAAGCCTTTCCTACTCTCTACCCTAAGAACAATTAATCAAGCAAGTAATTATGGTTCAATGTGTCTCCTACCAGTGTTCTACAACCTCCTTGTAAGCAAGGACTGAGTTTCACTCATCTTTGAAACCTAGTGCCTAGCACATAAATAATAAATTTTGCTCAACAAATTGAAATGAATGAGTCATATGCTAGACCTAGAAACTCTGGGAAGGATAGGTCAACAAATACACGTATGTACCTGCAGAAAAATATGTAACTTTGGCACTCAAATCCCAAATTAGAAAATATCCTGGAAAACACTCTACACTCTGGGAAGTCCTAATAAGTGCTCACTCCTTAGAGCAAAAGCTCACTAGCCATATTACCAGTATCATTATGTAACTATTCACTAGCTACTAAACAAGACACTTGGCCACGAGTACCCAGATATAAAAAGTTTTAATGTCAAATTACCACCATTTAGGGTTTACAACTCTGGGTCACCCTAATTCCTAAGGCCCTCCATTGGTCTCTCTGATTAAGATTCAAGTATCATTCACAACCCACAGCCTTTTTGTAAATTTAGAGGGTACCAACTACACAACTACCCCTCCCTCCCACCACAGCTCCCCAGTCAGCCAAGACACATAGTTGGATAATTTCTATCCCTTAAGTATATAGGATGTACAAAACCTAAATACATTATTAAAGAGAAAACATACTGTTATCACTGTCTATGAACTAAGACAACATAAAACAGCATTAGGTAATGACAGGCTGGTATGGTTAGGTGCTGCTGAGGAGTTAAGGTGCCTCTCTAAGTCAATCCCCAATGTTATGTGTTCATACATAGGTCAACTCTAGGCTACTTGTTTATAGTACAATCCCGACGAGAGGATTTAAAGATATTATATATATAACATATTATAGTTTTTATATATTATATATTAAGATATTATACAGGAGATATTATTCTCTAATGGCTTTTATTGTTATTTCTTACATTGCTATCTGTTCTTGGAGGAACTGGGTGAAGAGAGGATATAGAGGGGAAAAAAATAAGTAGGAATGGCTAACAGATGAAAAACCAAAATGCAGCTGACCTTGTAGAGTATACATATTCAAAGGCTTTTATTTTTACAAATAAGGAAACCCAATGTAAAACAGTGTTTTTAGAAAAAGTTTGCCTTGGATTCTGTTACAAAGCCCCTGACCTAATTAAATACGAAACACTACTGTACACAGAGGTCCATCATACAAATTGACACAGGATGAATAAAAGTTTCTTTCCTGTTTTAAAGTGGCTCTTATGGTCACCTCAAATTATAAAAACAAAAAAAAACATTAACTTCACTTGAACTTTATATTCAGTAACTGACACTCACTTCATCTTTTTCGTTTTTTAATAGCTGATGTAAATTCCGGTTCTTGCATTGTAACTGTCTGTCTCTTTCTTGAAGCCCAATCATCTCTCTCCTGGAGGTTTCTAGTTGTTCCTAAAACATTCATGTGCAATTTGATTAAAATTTATGTAGGATTCAGATCAACTAAATTCTTAAAAGATTAGGAAAAAAACTTATACATACTAGAGTTTGTTAGCTAAAATTAAAGTTTTATGTCACACAAAATGTTTATTTAAAGCAATTATTATTAAGCTCTTTACTATAAAGTTACAAAATCTGTATTTAAACATCAAATTTTATTTAAATATATTTTAGTATGTAGAAGAGTTTCAAAGTGGATCCCTTGAAAGTGTCTTCATATTTATTCCAGTGATGTTGATACTGGACATTTCAAAAGTTTTTTTTAATACTTTTTTTTTTAACAGTTCTCTAGCACATTATTTGAGAAGGAGGCAAAAGTGATTCAGAACTAAATCTGAAGAAGACCAAGCAAAGTGGCAACTCTTCAGGTCAAAAGGTTGACACAACACACCACCAGTTCTCCTTCGCAGGTGGTAAAGCCTCTGAACATTGTTTCCCACTGAGCAACGGCAGTACTGCGGGGATCAGGGTGGGATGAGATGCTCACTTTCAATTCATTCCACACATTTCTTGAGAAAACCAAGTCTTGCATGAAGCTGCTGGAATGTTTTTTAAATCCTCTTATTTTTATAAAATGTAAAAACCACTCAAGTTATGTCATAATTTACCACAAACAACAATTTGCAAAATCTCTGCAACAATGTATCTCAAGAAGATAGAGAAAATTTAGGAATGTAACTCAGATTACTCTAAGGCTGTCATAATTTTTGGCATCCTCTTTCTGGAGTGTTTAAAACCCCCTATCCTGCCAGACCACTTCACATAGATAAATGTAAAGGCTCTGGGCCAGCTGCTATGTCCCATATGTCAAATCAGAGAGTCATTCCAAGTGATTATCAACACTTTACTTGAACTTATCAGCATGTCTGCAAATCTGTACACCACCCCTACACTTATCTCAGTGAATCATATCATCATTCTCAGTAAACTCAAGACAGAGACCTGGACGGTATCTTAAATTCATGACCATGACTTATTCCCCAAATTCAATTTTTCATAAAATTTACCCATTCTGCTGCCTATGTTTCCTTCCTATCTCACTCTCTCCCTGACACTGCCTTAATTCTGAGTCCTAAAGCTCTCTGGCCCGGCACCTGCTCGGCCTGCTAGCAGCTGTCCTTTCCACCAGGCATTCTGAGCCCCCTACCTCCATCCCAAATACAAATGTGCACATCCCCCTATGATTTCTCTGCCCTGCTGTCAGATTAATATTTACATTATGGCTTCCCCCTGCTTACATTCTTCAGTGTCTCCAGGTTTCTGTTCAATGCCTCTCATATCATCTGCAGCCTGGGTCCCAGCCTTACCTCTTAATGCTCATCACATACTTTAGCTCCCACAGAGCTACTGAGTATTCCCTGAAAGTAAAATTCTATCATATCTCCATACTTTTATACAGATTATATGCTCTGACTAGAATGTCTTTTCCAAACACTAGCAAATTTCTATTCATTCCTCAAATCTCAGATCACGTCTTACCCCTCCATGAAGCCTTTCCTACTCTCTACCCTAAGAACAATTAATCAAGCAAGTAATTATGGTTCAATGTGTCTCCTACCAGTGTTCTACAACCTCCTTGTAAGCAAGGACTGAGTTTCACTCATCTTTGAAACCTAGTGCCTAGCACATAAATAATAAATTTTGCTCAACAAATTGAAATGAATGAGTCATATGCTAGACCTAGAAACTCTGGGAAGGATAGGTCAACAAATACACGTATGTACCTGCAGAAAAATATGTAACTTTGGCACTCAAATCCCAAATTAGAAAATATCCTGGAAAACACTCTACACTCTGGGAAGTCCTAATAAGTGCTCACTCCTTAGAGCAAAAGCTCACTAGCCATATTACCAGTATCATTATGTAACTATTCACTAGCTACTAAACAAGACACTTGGCCACGAGTACCCAGATATAAAAAGTTTTAATGTCAAATTACCACCATTTAGGGTTTACAACTCTGGGTCACCCTAATTCCTAAGGCCCTCCATTGGTCTCTCTGATTAAGATTCAAGTATCATTCACAACCCACAGCCTTTTTGTAAATTTAGAGGGTACCAACTACACAACTACCCCTCCCTCCCACCACAGCTCCCCAGTCAGCCAAGACACATAGTTGGATAATTTCTATCCCTTAAGTATATAGGATGTACAAAACCTAAATACATTATTAAAGAGAAAACATACTGTTATCACTGTCTATGAACTAAGACAACATAAAACAGCATTAGGTAATGACAGGCTGGTATGGTTAGGTGCTGCTGAGGAGTTAAGGTGCCTCTCTAAGTCAATCCCCAATGTTATGTGTTCATACATAGGTCAACTCTAGGCTACTTGTTTATAGTACAATCCCGACGAGAGGATTTAAAGATATTATATATATAACATATTATAGTTTTTATATATTATATATTAAGATATTATACAGGAGATATTATTCTCTAATGGCTTTTATTGTTATTTCTTACATTGCTATCTGTTCTTGGAGGAACTGGGTGAAGAGAGGATATAGAGGGGAAAAAAATAAGTAGGAATGGCTAACAGATGAAAAACCAAAATGCAGCTGACCTTGTAGAGTATACATATTCAAAGGCTTTTATTTTTACAAATAAGGAAACCCAATGTAAAACAGTGTTTTTAGAAAAAGTTTGCCTTGGATTCTGTTACATCCTTCATGTTATACAGTCATAATATAAGCCCCTACCATAATGTGCCTCTGAGTACCTTCTTCCCTCGCCTTCTCAAATAAATGAAAAAGAAAAAATTTTTTTGGAAAACATAAAAGAATGAATGGAAGCAAAGCAGAAGCCAGCAACAAATATTCTATAGTTTAAGGTAGCAGATCAATGGCCCTATAAAAAAATATTTCCTTTGCTCAGGGAATCAAGCAAGTTTACAAAAGCATTCTTCTATGGTCTTCTCCAGAGCCCTAGGGACTTCTAAGAGTCACAAGTTAACTGGCCTACTGCCATGCACTAGTGAGCTTTAGCAACTTTGGCAGAGATGCCCTCAAGAATATTTTTCTTGGAATTAACTGATATAGACTCTCAGAGTAAGACTTTTGAAAATTAAGCATCTACTTTATTAGGCAAGATTGAGTGGTGGTGGTGGTAGGGGTTTATTTTCCTCAGATATTACTACTTCCCAATTTTTCTACAAATTCAGCAAGTCACTGAAAAGTTCATAAAATCAATGCCTTCAACATAGACACAAGGAAGCGGTATGACTGATTAAGTTCACTTTTACTTACCAGGTTAAAAAACCCTAAAACTTAAGAAAATTAGAATTTGATAAAACCAATGAAAAAATTTACAGTATCAAATTACATAATAATGGCATTGAAATAGACTGATATGCAATTTCTACCTTAAGTTTTGCATAGCAGTTCTGTAGATGGTCCATATCACTTCCCAGTTTCAGATTCTGTGTTTCCACATTTTCCTGAGCTAGAAGATTCTTCCGCTGAAGTACAAGTAGCTCATTCATACAATTCAAAACAGTGACTATATTTAGTTCTCTCTTTGTCTCTTTACCTTTGGATTCTTCATATAATGAAGGAAAGCCAAAAGTAGTCAATTCCTAATAGGAGAAAACATATTCCTGAAAGTTGGTTACTGAACAACTTGGTAAAGAAACAAAGGAAATCTTTCTGAAAGAAATAAATCTTTCTAAGATAGTTAAGAAAATAAATACCCTGAGGGAAAAAGAACTGAGCAAACTGGACTCTTTTAACCTCTGCTCTGCAATCACTTGTGACCTGGAGAAAGGCACTCAGGCTTCTGCGCCAATAAAATAAGGGGGAGACCCCCAGTGGAGGGGCCCCTAGGGTGATGTGGAGCCAGCCAGCTCCAGACAAACACACTTACCCTGAATCTAGACTAGGTCGTCACCAAGGTTTTCTCAAACTAAATATATTACAAGTTCCGAGCCAATATACAACAACATACTACTTGTGTTTCACAGTTGTTTTTCTCATAACTTTGATATGTTCTATTATATAACATGATTTCTGCTATTGCATTTTACAAAAAAAAATGTTACCTGATCAAGATACGAAATACTTTGCTCAATATTCTCTTCTGTGCAGAAGGCACTGAAAAAGCTGTGCACATTTTTTGATAAAGGTATTGAAGAACACAGCACTTGCTGTGAGTATAAACTTGATGGAGACATCTTTGTTTCTGAGGTATATTGAGAAAGATTTTTGCTTTCTGAAAGAATCAATAAAAGGTATTCTTGTAAATAATTTATAAAAATGCATGCAAAGCAAACAATCTCTGTTATCAAAGATTCTGAATTATGTTAAGTATTTTCAAATTAGGACAAAGCTAATTTTTGAATGAAAGCAATATACTTTTTTCCAAAAAGATACAACTATAAAGTGATGTTCTAAGTAAGCATGTTAAACTATAATATACTACCATAATTTATAGTACTTCAAACTTATAAAAACACAAAAACAACTATGCCATTCAAAGTTGATGTGATCAAATGAAAAATCAAAGAAATGTATTGAAGTAGTCAATGAATTTACTTCAAATGCATCAAGTAAGCTATTATCCTTCTGAAGCATTTAACTCCACTAATTATGGCACAATGCTTAGCCCTCCCTGATTCTTCTGACGATGAAAACTAGGCGTTTTAGAAATATCAATGTCTTTTTCTAGTTACATCTTCAATATCTGTGGTAATTATTTTATAGTATCACTGAAAATTTCACCTTTACAATTACTGCTTTAGTTTACAATTAATTTAGACTCAGTTACCTGAAGACAGACCTGGATCTGTAACAGTCATCCACTCTCCCATAGCAATTGCCAGAGCCAGAAGACCTGAGGAATCAGTTCAGCAGTGAAACATTTAGTCCAGCTGCTGTCACTCTTCTATGTGGGCATCTCCTTAAAAAAAAAATTATAGAATAGTATCCAATTAAAAATATGAAAGCAAATATAAAACCAATGTATAAGAATCAGCTGTATGTCCTTCAAAATATAAGGATTTTGCATTATTTACTCCCAGGTGCTCCCATATAGAACATGGTAGAGCTCAATAACGTGTGTGTGTGTGTGTGTGTATCTGTGTAAGGATCAAGATGAAAGGTTTTCAAGTTCTACCAAGGTCATCCACGTTACTTCATATACGAAGTACAATATGAATCTAACATACAGCATTGACTCTAAGTAATAAACATTTCCATGTTACATCCTCTAAAATAAACTACAATTGTCATCTACATAGACAAGATTAAAAACTCCTTTGAGGGGAAGAGAGGAAAAATACATAAATAAAAGCTCCTTGGCTGGCACTCCCATTTTTTGTGTTTGTTTGTTTATCAACTACACGGACATAATTTATAAACTTAAAAACTGCATCCTAATAATGATTTGTACAAAGATTCATCTACAAGTTGTTCTTTACATTATCTAAAAACTGGAAATAACTTATACGTTCCACAGTAGGAGACTGGTTAAATGAGTAGCACATTTATACAACAGAACACCATATGACCTTTAAACACAACCATGTGGAATTAGGGTGGATAACAAATTCATAAAACACCAGAAATACACAGAATGAAGTATACTAAGCATAAGAAATACATAACTTTTTCAAGCTACCCTTCATGTTTCTGCTTGTTTATAGAGATAATGGAAAAAATACAGTTGATTCTTGAACAACACAGGGGTGAGGGACACTGACACCCAGCACAAAAATCTGCATATAACTTTTGACTCCCTCAAAACTTGACTACTCGTAGCGTACTTTTATTGATCAGAAGTCTTACTGATAGTATAGTCGATTAACACATTTTGTATATGTATCACTGTATTCTTACAATAAAGTAAGCTAGAGAAAAGAAAATGTTTTTTCAGATTGCTGCAAATCTCCAAAAAAATTTCCAATATATTTATTGAAAAAAATCCATGATTAGGTGGATCTATGCAATCAAACCTGTGTTCAAGGGGTCAACTGAAAATATTTCTCTATCATAAGAAAAAATTTAAATGAATTATAAATGGTAACTAGAAATTGATTTCAGGGCCAGGGACAGGAGCAGCAGAGGTGAAGGCTGTGGGCAAACTGGAGCACACAGGCTGACACTCTGGAGAGCTGCTTCTTAGCTATAATAAACTGTGGCCAGAAGAGAAAGTGGGTCCTTCCCATTTCTTAAGAGATGTTGGATTTCTGGATTTTTATCAGAAATCTCCCAATTTTTAAATGTTAGAAACTAATGAAAGGAACTGTGCAAGTCACCCCGTGGGAAGGGGGTATGGCGGAGGGTCTATAGGGGAGCTTTCACATCATGACCTCAGAGCAGATGACAGAGGCAAACACATCAGTACAATTCACTAAGTTGTACGCTTAAGATCTGTGTACTTGACTGGATGTAAGTTAGGCCTCAAAAAACAACACTTTTTAATAAGCCAAATAAAACATGACTTTAGGTAGGATCTAGACTGTGGCTCAAGAGTTTACAACCCCTGTTCTGAATATTTAGGAATGGGGGGAGATATTAACAGTATAATGTTAAAGTGAGATGAAAAACTTCATTCACTTAATAAATATGTAATTGGGCTATACTATGTACCAAACATACTTTCCTAGGCACAGAGGAGGCTCTGCTCTCGAAAAGTTCACATTCTAGTGGGGGTAGAAATAGATAAGCAAGCAAGCAATAAACTAAACTGATGTAACATTCAGAAAGTGATGAGAACTATAAAGAAAATACAACATAATAACACGAGCATATTGGCACGAGGGTATCTAGATTAGTCAAGGAAGGCTGCACTGAAATGCTGACGTTTGAACTGAGATCTAAATGACAGAATCATCTACAAGATGATCAATGTTTCCTCTACAAGAGTGCCCCAGGCAGAGGAAACAGCAAGTGCAAAGACCCAAGATGGAAATGAACTCAGTAAAGTATGAAAAACATGGAGAAGGTGAGTATGTGTTAAGCACAGTAAGCAAGGACAGAGGGTAGGAGGCTGGATTTTCTCTGAATTGCAGTAAAAAGCTGAAGGGGTTTAGACATGAAAGCAAAATGTTCCTCTTTAGGCTTTAAAAAAGAACACTCTGGGTAATCTCCCTTCTAAGTAGATTATAGGTGGGCAACTGTAGAGGCTGGAAGAAATCAGGATACTGCAATAGCTCAGGCAAGAAGATCTGTGTGACACTACAGCTCTAAGAATGGAAGCAGAAACAGATGGAAATTAGGGATGAGTTTTGGAGATAGAACCTTTAGGACTTGCAGATGGAAGGAAATGTGAGCAAAAGAGAAATTCAGGATAATTCCTAGGTCATAGAGCAACAAAATATGTACTAAATGATGTCATGTGTTATATATTACATGTTATGTCACACACACATACACAACAGGTAGTTGGTTATACTGTTCTGGCACTGATCTTTTGCCAATTTTCTACTCATGTGCCTTGGTAAGAGTATCTTGAACTATCTTGCATTTCCCACTGTCCTTAAATGGATGCCTTCAGCAATAAGATGAACAGGATAAATGCTGAGTCTGCATCAAGAAAGACAATTATTTTAACTTGTTTTTCAGAGATAGCAGCTATAAGCAAAATAGTATACAAGGAGCAATAAAACTGTCTACTCTAACTCCACTCCCCTTTGGGTAAATTACTTAACCTCTACAAGTCCTAGTTTCCTCACTGGTAAATTACCCTAAGAATGGCATTTATTTCATAGTTCCCCTGAAGATTAAATGAGATAATGCACATAAAGTACTTAGCACACTGCCTGGCATATGCAACACAAGTAAATAATATCTGTTATCATTATCATCTAGACATAAATCCAACTAGTATAAATAAATGACGGGAGTTCAAAACCTGTAACAAAATGTACTGTTGCCTTCAAAAAAGTTCAACATCAATTCTTAGATCTGGAGACAGATGACCCTATAAAACCACATCAGGCAGTGGGTTAATTCTCTGCAATCCCTAGGCTATGAGGAGGGGCAAGATCAGAAGCAAGCAGAAAAAGGCACCTTTCCAAGTCCTTTTCTTTTGCTAAGGTATTTGTAAGATACGAGTGCCCCAAGTGCCTTTTCTTCTCATAAAGATCACCAGACACCAAAATGTGTCTACTACACATCCATGCTTTCTAATCGTAATTTAAGTCAGTTACTCTTTCTCTGTGAATTTAGCAGTGTCTACAGATTTAGACAGTCAATTATTCACTGCTCTGTTAATTCAATAAAAAAAAAAAACAACCAACTGCAAAATATTCGGGTCTAGTTGAACATTCAGTGAAAAGCCAAACGGTTTTGAAGGACTATGAAACAAAAATTTTTAGTAACGATATATTATTTCATGCCATCTAAAAGTTTCTAGATATCCTCTTCTACTCAATGATGTACCAAATTACTACACAATATGAGGCCTGTGATAAAAGTTACCCAACCAGCTTTTCAAGAAAGAAGGCTGAAGAGTCTTAATCCATATATCCCAAACCAAGACTAATTTAAGCAAAGTATTCTATTTAGCTCAATTATAGCTAAAATTTTATTGCTAAAATTTAAAAATTATTTTCATAAAGAAGTTAGTCAATATTAATTTCAAAAGAAAAATAAAAAAGGTAACAGAAGCAACCTTTGCTTTGCATAAACCTAATACCATCACAAGTGCATTTCAACTTGAAAGCTTCAAAACCAGTCAAGGACTCCATTAAAACCTGAGACTGGAGCAGAGAATTAAGCTCCACATTACAGATTAATCAAGTCATAGCAAACCATTATATAATGGACATGATAATTCATGACAAGTCATGTAAGAACAAAGTTATACTCTTACTATTATTGATACTAGCATTGTTACTATAGTTGCATTATAAAAGAATGAACCTATAGCTTCCTTTTACCCCCAGTTCTCTCTATATACATACCATTGGTTAGGGAAGCTGCCCAGATCCCAAGATAGGTAAAATTCATGAGTGAGTATTATGAGCAAAACACGAAGATTAAAGAATTTAAACATCTTGTAAATCATTTCACTAATCTAAGATTGTTGGGGACCAATTTTGAAATAAATTAAAGCAAAAAAAAAAAATCTACAAAATAATCCAAAAGTAAGACTTCTCCTATTCTCTACATGAAAGAGCCAAAGTTTTGTTCCTTCCTGGTGGATAACATGTACACAGGCTGCTAATAAACTTACTGCTCCAAGTATTTACCGATGTACATTCCAATAAGTAAGACTTCCTAAAGGAAAATTGTATTAACTGCTGTCCAGTTGTAGTGATTTCAGCAAAAATGTTTTTACTATTTCTGAAGAACTACTTTGGCTCTCCTGATGCTATGGGCCCCGAAGTACCAACACCATATAGACCGAGTATAAATAAATAAGGAGACACTGGTCTTTTCTGGGTAAAATGATTATGCAGAGCTTAAGAATTATCTAGTAGCATTTTCTAGGTTAGATGCCTGACAGAAAATTGGGAAGTAGTGAGACATCTGAACGTAATATAATTGTGCCCTTTTTGAAAAAAAAGGAAGATCTCAATAAGCTTCTAAATCTATTATTCTTTAAGTCAAAAGTATTTTCTTACATATGTATTCATCTGCATTGTAGACAGGGATTTGGGCCGAGATAGATCAACAGGATTGCTCAAGGTCACATTTCTAATTGGTAGCAAAGCCTGGACACAAATCCCAGTCGTCAAAACTGCTCTTTCCCTCTATCACAATTCAACCTTTCAACACTGTACACCCATATCAATCAATCTATATATCTATAGAGAAGTTAAAGGTAGAATATAATAAAAAAGATTTCCACCAAATCTCTAAAAAACTAAGTTCCCATAATTAATTTAAAATTATTCCATTTAGAGCATACAATTCTTAAAGGAACTTATCTACTACTTAAATTGAGATGCA